TATAATTATCACGTCAAACCCATCCTTTTTACTGTTAAAATTCATCTCTTTTTATAAATAACTAATGGTCAAATGATTTGACTCACGTTAGATATCTATCATAACTACGTCATAAATTTAGAGTAGTGTACGTATTACATATTAGCCAAGCAAAAAAAAATAATAATGAAATTTATACAAAAGGGAAAATTTGACAAAATTTTCGCAACAAAAGATAGTTTGTATACGTAGTAGCCTCCAAAAGTTTGTTAAATCCAGATTAGCGGGATTGAACAAATTTAGATAAAATTATTAAGTGTTTATTCACAATACAATAATAATGTGTTAAATGTTGTTTTCTGTGTAACGGTAATAATAATAGATTTTCAGAGGCTACATATTCAACCGTTTTGACCCGGGTTGTAAACTTTTGACCCGGTTGAACCGTTTTGACATGGGTGACCCGGTTTACTATAACCCGGTTCTAAACTTTATCGTTATGACCAATTTCTAGCTGATAATTCCTTGTCCTCTTTCGGGGTCTTGCAAACGATGCACGCGAACGTCCGGCCCAGGCGAAACGTTACTAGCATCTTGAGGAGTAATTAAGATATACTGTGTGCAGTCTGAATCACGTGCCGTTTCAATCTTGAGATAAGCGTCAATGCAAAAAGTGTAATATGAGAAATTAGCAAGATGAACGCAACACTAGATTGAATATGAAAAGAAATTTGCAACGTAGAATTACCATCATACGCATACTGATTCTACGGTTCACGGCATCCATGAATACATCAAATTCGTCAAGGCTAGAAATGTATATAAAAATTAAATATAACAGAAACTATACATATAAAGGCGTAAAAATTGAAAATAGTGTAATCACCAGCGGATTGGACATCCCATCGCCTCCCAAAGTGCAAGTAACAAGCATATAGTTGAAAATGATTTTTCTCCTCCGGATAATGATTTTGGATCTTTATCAGCATTTTGATTTGTTTGTTCATCAATTTGAACCTGAAATTAAGATAATTCAGTGAACCATTTTGAGTTTAAATTTATAAAATGTTTATAAGCAGAGCGTAAGTCATTAAAACATAACAATCACCCGTAGAGTTAATTTTTTATTCTGATGGTCAAACAATAGTTTTCCGGTATATCCACGCTTTGATAACTGAAATGTAAATTGAATCCTTGCACGAACAGATATGTAAGTACGAAAATTTCGCCATTTTAGCATGCGTGAGTGCAAAGCTGATTTGAGATCCTATACAATAATTGTATTGTATGTTAGCGTTTATAAAAACATAAAAACAAACGATCATTCTTTATAATTTAATTACTTGAATAAATTTTTCCATGTGACCAATTTCAGTTTTTGCATGACGATAAGCATCACGTTTTGCAGCCATATCTGATGCTATTTCTTCAAGGCTTGACCCATGTCTGTACGGATGGATAGGATTTAATCACAAAAAAACAAAAAGAAACTTCAAAATTTTAACATAAATCACTTACTCCTTTTCCCTTTCTCGTAAACGATTTTGAATTTGCTTGATTTCACGATCTAATTCATTAGCTGGCTTCGTAACTTCCACACGTTCTGGACAATAATCTGCTGCTTGTTTTGTCCAATCCTATTAGATTATTAAAACATAAATTAATAATTATAATTAAAGCTGAATTTAAAATATAACCGTAGTATAAAGAATTACCTCTAGAATATATTGCTTATTCTTAACATCCTCCTCAGCAGTATTGATTTTTTGCTGTTCTAAGATCATTTTTCTTTCCCAATGTGCCTTATTGTTCGCGCAAGTGACACGCATAGACACTTGTTCTTCTATTTGTTCCTGTTGTAAAAAAAAAACTTAAATAAATGCAAATAGACACACAACAGTATTAAACGTATTTTAACATGTATATAATCCACATACATTAAGAACATCTACTTCGCTCGACATATCATTAAGCTGTTTGCTCACTTCTTCAATTTCAGTGACTAGTGGTAATTGTTCGTTATCTAGTTGCACTTTTTGTTCTTGAAGTGATGCATAATTTCTTTTATGTTGTTCTATCTCAGTTTCAGCTTCCTGCAATTAATTCATTCATATTAAAAAAAGATCATTCACATTCATGTGCAAAAACTAAAAATTACATACTCTTATTGCTTCTTCCAATGCAGCAATATTTGCTGGTTCATCTTCCTATATCAAAGAAAAAAATATATAACAAAAATAAGACAAATAAATATATAAATTTAAAATGCATTAGACCATCATTATCTTTCTAATTTTAACCTGTAAATCTTCTTTCAACTGAATTATTTC